CTTTTATAGAATTCCCAACAAGATTTACAATCACTTGTGTGAGTCTTCCCGGACCCCCCCCCCCCCCCCCGCCCCCAAAAAAAAATTATAATTTGAGAAACTTTATCAGATAAAAGAACAACAAGCTTCAATTTCCCAGAAGTTACGAAGAAGAATATAATCAAATAACTTGACTAACTGAAATTGCGATCAATTTATCAACGATTTTTAAGAAATTTTATCTAGGTTCCGTTACGCCTTGTTCTTGAGTTCTACTTAAGGAGGGAAATGAGATGATACGAAGGGAAAGTGAGAGGTCTCGAAGAAAAATCGTGTTCCTGAGTTTCATTAATGGAAGGAAAGTGAAGGGAGGGGAAGGATTTTGGAGTCATATTTTCGTTTCAAATTTTCCTCCCAAATTGGGCAAATTTGGGAAGAAAGTGAAGCGAAGGAAAATTTCAAGTTTTATTTTCTTTTTACTCCTAACTCAGGAACACAAAAACTTAAAATTTTCCTCTCATTTCTTTTCATTTCCTTCGAACTCGGGAACATGGTATGATGAATATTTTCCTTTCCTTCCCTTTCTTTCGGTGAAAATTTTCCTTCCTTTTCCTTTAATGAGTTTACAAAAAAAAAACTGGGGAACAAGGCATTATGGCGGGACTTTTTTTGAGAAGAACGAGAGAACATCATTTAAAATTGATCGAAGATCAAAAGGGACTGCTAGAAAGGGTTTTGTCTCCAGACCAGTTTCAAGGTTTCATCATACGACAACCACCGCATCAACGTATCCACATCTGGCGAACATCAACGTCCGACAAAACCATTAGGGCAATTTCATCTGATTTCATGTCGTGATCGTCGGTTTCATAATGTGAACAACATCAATTTCATCAAAAAGGGTTCTAGAAAGAGTTTCGTATCCCGGTTAGAAGTGGACAGTGGAGAGCTTTTCGTCGGCAACACATAAGAGGACCATTTCTGTAACTGGTTGGGTTTCCGGTAAAAGGGTGAGGAAGAATATGTTCGTATTGGTGAATCTGGTTCGTTAAAAGGAGATTCGAGAGCATGGTTGTCGGACCACCAGTCCTTCACGTCATCATCGTTCTCAACGTCACCATTCTTTTACGACAACGCCCTTAGTAGTAGTGGCAGTGAGCCAGCGAACGTCGGTCGCGACAGTGGTTGTTGGCCTTTCAAGGGTCATCGGTAGTGAATTGTGGAGAGAGGAAAGTGGAGCAAAGAAAAGGTTTTAGATGCTGAACAATGATGGATTATGGATGGCAGATCAACGACGCTCTGGTGGGTGAAAATATATCACGAACGGTCTGGTTGATTCCGACGGCGGTGGATGGTGTTCGGGTTTAAGGCTTTTAGGGGGTGTTTGGTTTATCTTTTTAGAGACAAAAGTCCTTTTTGAAAAACTTACAAAAAGTCAGGTTTCTGACTTTTCCAAAAAATTTGTTTTTCTTATATCTAAAATCCAAAAGTAGCTTTTAAAATGTTTTTACCAAACATTTTTTATATTTTTTTTTTAAAAAAAAAAGATTTTTGTCTTTCAAAAAGATAAACCAAACACCCCTTGGAAGGGGTTTATAAAGGAAGAATACATCACGTGGAAAATTGGGAATGATAATAGAAACAATGGAGTTCATAGCTACGATCGTCTGTCTTGATGATGATGTTGATGGCCAAGATTTATAAATATTTATTTTCATTGTAAAAGGATTATTTTGTTTCCAGTTTTATTTTTATTGCTTGATATATATATATATATATATATATATATATATATATATATATATATATATATATATTATTAAATTTAATTTATATTTTTTGTATGAGAAATTGAAGACATAAATTTTCAAACCTTTTTTTTGTTATCATATCAATGTAAAATTGCATGAAGATAAAAAAAAATTCATTGATTCATTCTTTCAATTTAGTTAAATATTTATCTTGGTATGAAAATCGATCAATCCAAACGAACAACCCTAATGCACATTCACATTTTAAAGAAATAAAATAAGATGGAAAACATCTGCATATGTTTTTCTAAATGTCATGTACACAAAAAAATATTAACATACATCAAAAATGTATTTTTTTGAACAATTCATTATGTAGGTATTATTTTCGAAATCCATATTATTTTTTCTTTGAATTGAAACAATTCTCTTGAGTATGTCATCCCAATACACTTTTTTTTTTTTTTTTTTTTTTTTGCAATTCTCTTGAGTATGTCATTCCATTACACATTTAAATTTGGTGCTAAAATTGCATGAAGATAAAAAAAAATTCATTGATTCATTCTTTCAATTTAGTTAAATATTTATCTTTTATATATATATATATATATATATATATATATAAAAAAGTTCAACAAAGAACCATATTACTTTCAAATTTTAGAGTTTATTATTTTTCATTAAAAAAACCTAAAAATATCCAAATTAATAAATTCACATTTTGAATGCTAAAAATAAATTATATATTATTTGGATTCAATTCACAATTATACTTTCAAAGTTTTATATTTTATTTTTACTATTAGTTTTCGTTCCATCAAGAGTAATAATTAATAAGAAGAACATAAAATAACACCTAACCCAAAATAATAATAATAATAATAATAATAATAATAATAATAATAATAATAAAATTACTATTATGTTTTAGATGTTTCATGCTTTTTCTTTTAAGTCATCATTTGGTTTAAGTTTTATCCTTTTCTTAGGATATCACGTAGGAGATAGTGAGAGAAAGAAATATATATATATATATATATATATATATATATATATATATATATATATATATATATATATATATACAGAGAGAGAGAGAGAGAGAGAGAGAGATAGAGAGAGAGAGAGAGATATTACGACTTAGTCGAGGAGAGCGAGAGTCGCAGCCGAAAAGACTCACGGAGATCATAAGAGACCGACAGAGAGAATACGCGTGAAAGAGAAAGAGTGGAAATGATAGAGATCCGGTGACAATGTAGCCTGGGATAAGGTGAGCAGTCCTCCGGTAGCGTTTTTCTTTCAGGAAGTTTTGTGACTACTTTTCTGGCAGCACATTTTTTGGGGTTTACTTTATTTTCCAAAACTCAGACATTGAGTTGAAAAGCATGTAAATTAAGTTAGACTTTTAGTATTTTTTTTATAGAGTTTAGCTATATAGTTTCCAACTTTATTTTTTCTAATCGAAGTTCGATTGTTTTGATTTTGTCAGCGTTTTTCTAGTCTTTTCGTTAATTTTTCAGTGATTTTCTAATCATATTGGTAGTTGATTATTTAGTCCCTTAACCTAACCTCATCAAACTAGGTCATTTTGCATTAAATTTTCATTGCAATCATCCAAGGTTCTTAAACTTCATCCCTAAACTTGATTTACTTCAAAAAAAAATTAGAAATTCATCATTATATTTCTCCTACATCATTTCATTTATAGCGGTAGGATATGAAGCCTATCAGGCGGTATTCAATAGAAAGATGTGATGTAAAAGAAAAATATTGGTGAAAGTCCAAAGATTTTGGAAGTAATAAAGTTATGGGGTTGAAGTTTAAGAACCTTAGGTAATTACAATGTAAATATGATACAAACCGATGTAGTATTATGGAGTTAGGTACCTAAGCTTATATAAGGTTGTTAGGTACATTCACTTTACCCTATATATATATATATATATATATATAGGGTGAGGTTTTTAATAGAGAACCATAATTAAGTAAGGAACCAATCGTGAGCATCAGAAATCATAAGGATCAGCGGCTAAGAAAATAGATGTACACTTCTACATTGGACGTACATATACCGGATTATACCAAAAAATTCACTCTTTACAAAAAAACCCACCACTTTTTTTCGTTTAAAATTTTTTTAGGCCATGTTTTTTATCAAATAAATAAATAAATAAATAAATAAATAAATAAAACTGAAGATACCGTTTTTCACAATTTTTCGTCCTCTTTCCATAGAGATCCATGATGATATATAAAAAACGAATTTTTTTCCCGAAAAAAACTCACTTCATTTTCTTTAATGAAAAAGTTAAGGTCTATTTTTTATAGAAAAAAATTAATAAATATATCGAAATTCATATTTTTTGTAATTTTTAAACATAGATTCATATTCATATTAAAAAAAACGATATTTAAGTTGAGATTCACATTGTGAACTTGTTTAGATTCATATTGTAAATCTGTTCAGATTCACATTGTGAACGTCCTCAGATTCACAGTCTGTATAATAATAAATCAGGTTCACAGTGTGAATCGGAACTGATGGGAGTTTTTTCACATTGTGAATGTTAAAATTTGAAATATTTACAGATTCACAATGTGAATCTACACTGATAGAGGTTTTTTTTTTGTGAATCTGAATTGTTCGAGATTTTCCATATAGTGAATGTTAAAAGTTGAAATATTTACAGTTTAGATTCACAGTCTGAATCTACAATGTTCGAGGGATTTTTTTTTTAAAAAAAATCCTTGTTGATGTTTATTAATAGAGTAGAAAAAATTAATATTTTTGGTATAATTAGTTTTTTTTATAAAAAAAAAAGCTTAAATATTGAAAAAAATAAGAAAATTAAGTAGGTTTTTTTTTCGAAAAAAAAGTTCGTTTTTTACATATCATTATGGATCTCTATAGAAAGAAAACGAAAAATCGTGAACAACGTTATATTCAGGTTTTTTTCAATTAAAAACTTGGCCTAAAAAAAATTTAAAATAAAAAGGAAGTGAGTTTGTTATAATCCGGTTCATGTGCTTCCATTATCAAAATTTACAACTCTTCCTTTTGCCGTTGATCGCTTTAAATTCTGACGACTCTGATTGGTTTCTTGGTTACTTGAATAATAATGGTTCTTATTGAACTTCTCCATATATATATATATATATATATATATATATATATATATATATATATATAAAATAAAGATGTAAATTTTTTAATTAAAAATCATAAATACTGAAAGATTTATCTCCTCAAAATGAAAAATTTTAATCAATTTATAGATTATAGAAAATTAAGAAAAGTAGAAAAGAAAGTAAAAGGCCGACAAAGAACATAGTGGTTATTAGAAAATGCTTACCCAGAATGACACCTATTTTGCTCCTTCCGTAAATATAACAACTAACACCCGAGGCCGCGTCAACATTTATGGAACAGTAGCCCCCCTTGATCTTACACCTTCTGCATTCTGGCCAATTACTACTTATATCTCTGTATGTTGGATACCAAGAAAGTGTTATTGGAACATAAATGCTGTGCCCGTCAACAGATTGGCGAGGAAAGCCTGCTGATGGGAAGTATCCACGGCCCATGAAAAAGGCAGACCCACAGCTACCATCTCCGGCCGGCCTTTCCAATCCTGTTCGATTCAAGCTAAATGACTTGATATAATAAGGAATGGTATCTTGGCAACAACCAATGCCAAAGCAGTTGTTTCTGTCACCACCTGTGTCACTGGGACAAATCATTGAGCAACCAGCAACAATACTCCCATTCTCCTTGACGTCAGCATAAATGCCACACCCCTTAACCAAGAGGTTGTTTTCATAATCAGAAACAGAAAAGGGACTCTCATCGCTTAGGACAAGAGTGCTATTCTGCATTGAATTCTCACAATCAAAAGTCATGGAGATGTTAACAGTTACATCTCCAAACGAGTTTGCACTCAACAGCTCCACGTTGTTGAGTGCAGATAGATACGGAATTGAGGAGTTACAATCAACATTGTACCATTTGTTCAGAAAGCAATTACTTCCAATCCCAAAAGGGAATGGAATCAAGATCCCTCCGCATGTATCATTGCACCCTTTTTTGCTGATTCTTTTGGCTTTTGTTAATGTTGTTGTTGTGGTTAAGGAGATCAAGATAAATAGATGCAAAACTCGAAAGACTTGCATTTTCTTGTTAACAACAACGATTGAAGGATTTGAAGTAAGAAAACTATAACTCAATTTATGTGCTTCAGGACTAGTATATATGGTGCCTGATTTGATTTGTTTTATCTTTTATGGAGAAATTTTATTCCTTGTTTACTTTGAGTCAACTTTTTGCCATTTTAAAAACAAGTGGCTGAGATTTATAATGTATATGTTTTGAGAAATTTAAATCTGTTTGGATTAGACCAAATCAAATACGTTTCCTAAAACAAATATTATATTATAATACCGAATAAATTTTTGGAAAGAAACCCTTTCTTTTATAACGACGACTTTATCAAAATATTATAGGTAAAATTAGATTTCTTTTTAACAAAAACACATTAAGAAAAACACACCGTATTTGTCAGCTAAATAAACCATTTTTGTCGAATGCTATATTCTTATTATATTATTCACATCTTTTTTCTAAGATTATTTATTTATTGTTTTTCCACTTGTCATTTTATAATTTTTTTATTTTATTAAAAATCAATATAATATTTAAATTAATTGTAATAAAAAAATACATATCAATTTAATTAATGCAATTTCTTTTTAATTTCCAAGTTTCTAAATTTAATCAAATTATCTCATTTGTTTATTTATTTAAATTGTTTGTTTAAATTTTAAAAAAAAATGAAAAAAAGTTCAAAATAACAAATTAAACATTACATTTTAATAATTCAATATTTTTCTTTATTTCTTTATAAATCCAAATTTCCTAAATTTGTAGATCTTCGTATTTTTTCATGAACGTGTGTAGTATACGAATTTGACAACTAGTCTAACCTAAAAAATGGAAATCATTTTTGTCACATGTCACATTCTTATACATTTTGATAAAAGTGATTTTCCTATATTTTACAATTTCTTTTTATATTCATTATAAAAATTACATGTGTAATGTTCTGTGATTCATATTTAAATTTAATCCTATTTTAATCCCTATAATTAAGCAACATAATTTGAATTCTCTAGGATTATTTTCAATTTTGATATGAAGCATCCTATAAAACCAACAGTAATTTATATTAAATCAACAAGAAATCGGGAAGAAATTATCTTCAAATTTAAATCGAATTTATAATCGGCTTTCTTAGACTTCATATATTTAGAAGCACATTGGTTTACAATTTCAATCTCTTAAAAGAAGGTAATCACCATACCTTCTCTCCCTCGTATTATTATGCTCATTATTATTTTTAGAACAACAATGAAATTAAAACACACCTAGCAAGAAACTAACTGGGAAAACAAAAAGGTCAATATAGAAACATTAAGAAATAGCAATTTTTGGGTTTTGAAGCCAACCCAACCAATTAATAGAAAACTTTCTACACCTATAGTTACCCCAAAAAACGAAAGAGTAACAATATTGTAAAAAAGATCCGCAAATATCCACTTCTTTGTAGCAAACATGACATTATTTCTACAATTCCATATCACCTACCACATCTTCAGAAGCACCACCTCTAAGCAATCTTTAAGATACTTATATAACCGCAACGCAGAAAACAAAGAAAACCAATCTTCAAAAGAGGTCAAAAATGGAATAGGAATATTCCACCATCTAGTAATTTGAAACAAATGACTATTAGTAATATCGCAACCAAAGAAAAAAGGATTCACCAACTCAAAGCATCATCACACAACAGACATGAAATATCATCAATAAGAAGGCCTCTTTTTTTCACGTTAACCCTCACTGGAAGCTTGTCTAACCTCAATCTATAACCAAAAATATTGACTTTAACAGGAACCAACTTGACCCATCTTGTTGGCGGATCCACCGGTAATTAACTCTTATCAATAAAAAATAAGTAGAGAAGACATTAAAATTCCATAACCATCTAAGGCCCAATACCATCTATCTTTAATCATATAATGAAGAACTGAAGACAAAACCTAACAAAGTTGCAACCATTGCTCATTTTCAGCCCCTCCTTACATCGGAAGTCTGCGAAAAGATTCAATCCACCCAACTTGCTTCATCTTAGCTAAACCATAATCTTTTTCTCCGTTTCCAAAGAAATGATTCTAGGGAACAAAACTTTGAAAGAAACATCTCTCACCCAAATATCATTCCAAGAAGAAGTATTCAAACCATCTCCTACTTTCTTCTTACAAAAAGACATCAGGTTAATACCTTTCTCTTTAAGAATAAAAATGGAATTGATCGCATCTAACCAAATAGAGCCATGCCTACACGAATCAGAATTTCACATCCCACCATCCAAATCATGAATACTTTTCACCATCCTAACCCAAAGAGCATCATCAAAATTATAAAAGCGCCAAATCCATTTAAACATAAGAGCTCTATTCAAAGTTAAAAAAAAACTACCCACACCGAGACCACCATGATTTTTATCATCCATAACTTTATTCTAACTTACCCATGTCATTTTTTTCTTCCATATTAGCCCCTATAAAGAATTTATTTCGTAAAGATTCAAACTTCGCAAGCACACCAAGAGGGGCCTTATGAAGAGACAAGAAATAAGTAGGCAAAGCTCCCAAAACAGACTTTATTTTGACTTTCCAATTAGATAATTTAGAAGTCACGTTTTTCAAAACATCTGACCATACGCTCTGCCTGTTTATATTACCACCCACCACCAAACTGAGCTAAGAAAAAGGGGAGCTTTAGATAATCACAACCTATATTACTAGCCATCTCGATCACCAAATTTTGAAAAACACCAATGCCAACCAATTAATCTTGAGACCCGAAGCAAGATGAAAACAATGTAAGATACAAGTAAGATTATATATATATATATATATATATATATATATATATATATATATATATATATATATATATATATATATATATATATATATATATTCGACATCTTCCATTCACCAATAAAAAGAGCAACATCTTCATAAAAAATTGGGAGACAACCAAGGTAGGATTTTAACCATGGAAATACCTGAGAATAACTCATTCTCCATTGCATTCGAAAAACCAACATGTAGACTGTCCATAACCAAGATAAATAGGAAAGGAGAAAGCGAACCACCTTGGTGTAAACCTTTAAGGAACCAAAATCCTTCAGTAGGGGAACCATTAATCAAAACAGAACCCATTGAAGAAGAAAGAAACCCCTGAGTCCAAGCTCTCCACTTAGTCCCAAAAACCCATCTTCTTTATAACCTCATTAAGAAAAAATCCCATGAGTCATAGGCCTTCTCAAAATAAACTTTGAAAATCATAGCTGACATTTTCGTACTCTTACACCAAGACACCATCTTATTCATAATCATAGGACCATCCCAAATTCTTCTTCCTTTGATAAAAGTTGATTGTTCAACACTAACTACCTTGTGAATAACCTTACAAAGAAGATTAGCTAGAATATTCCCCACAATTTTATACTAACATCCTATCACACTAATAGGAAGAAGACTAATAGGACGAAAATTTGAATCACAGCTCGCATCCTGAACATTTGGAAGAGCTACGAATGAGGGACTACGATGTCTCCGACAATCGTCTACTCTCTATTCACTATTTTTGGTTCATAGGTTTTTTTGGTACTCTTCCCAAAAATTTGAAACATTCATCAGGTGTCATCAGGTTCTTCACTAAAATTAGGAATAATTTCTTTAGTTTTGGCTACCGAAACCACCAATACAGTCTCTTGCGGTAATGGATGCAACTATGGAATATATGAGGCATGGATTTTTTTTTGAGTTGAGTTTCTTAGCCTCCATTTGTTGTTTCTACTGTAACCAGGCTACTAGGGGTTTATCATGTCCATTTGTTTAAGGATTTTGATCAAATGTATTGGATTTAGATTTTTTTCGCTCATGGTCATTTGTGGTTATGAAGATGTCGTTATCCTTAAAGCTAATGGAGACCCTATTTGCATGATAAAATTGATGAAGATAAGGTGTTTTATGTCGGTTATTTATTCCAAATTTCAAAATCATTGTCTTATCCTTTTTACTTTTTGATTTTGTACCTGAGTTATCAGTTAATTTGATTTCATGTTGCTTCTATTCATTTTTTATGTTGTTCTTGATGACAAAGGTACGTATTTTAGATTCCCTCTTTTCATTTTTTGTTGCAATTCATTGGTTGAGCAGCGATCTATGTCTGGTTTGTGAGTTTAGTGTTTTTTTTGTTCTGATGTGCATCTTTGTGGCCTTTTAATATCCCTCATAACCCAATAGTAGTATCAGATCCCGATTGTTCACGTATATTGCACTTTAGATTTTCGTTCTTTTGTGTTTAATTGAGTTTTGTATGTTGAGGTCTAATTTGATTTCTAAGATTTTAAATGAGTAATTTAAATGTTTTTAGAAATTGCTTGAAAAATTCGTTAGGATTAGAGGGCCGATCCAGTAAACACTAAATTTTCAATATCGAAATGCACTTTTAACCGGGAAGGTGGCGCGTAGGTCCTCCTATGCAGTCTATAGCATGTGTTCTCAAATTACCTCATTTTTTATTTCACATGCAAACTTTTCAATTTTACTGAAGTTGCAAATATTCATGCTTATTGGTTTGGTTAGTTGATTAAACGTTTTGTTAATTAATTAAAAGTCAAAGAATGAGATATTATTGATTGTTTTTTTTTCGTTTAAATTAATTATTGACATTGCGCTTCACATGTCCAAGCAGAACTAATTAGTATACAAATTAAATGGTTATATATATATATATATATATATATATATATATATATATATATATATATATATATATATATATATATATATATATATATATATAACCATTTAATTTGTATACTAATTAGTTCTGATTGGACATGTGAAGTGCAATGTCAATAATTAATATTAGTTCTGATTGGACATGCGAGGCGCAATGTCAAAAGGTTATATATATATATATATATATATATATATATATATATATATATATATATATATATATATATATATATATAAAACACCCGGAAAACCAGAAGGCCAATTAAGGAAAGAAAACCTCTAATCAAGAAGGC